ATGCGAATAAAAAAGAGAAGTTGAATGGGTATAATTTGTCTGTGAAATTTGAAAATATTCAAATTCCGTTAGCGAGAAAAATGAGCAAAATAAAAAAAAAGTGCAAGACTTAAATATAATTATCTTCATTGTTAAATATATGTAAACAAAATAAAAGCTTTAATTATTTGTCGAGAATTGAAACAATAAACCCACAAATGATGGCACGTAAAAAAGCCAAATTATATACAAATGAGAAACAATTCTTTCGGGTCAAGTTTTTTTATTATTATTATTATTATTATTATTATTATTATTATTATTATTATTATTAAGATTTTGAATAATTACAGTAAACCAAATTTTAAATTAAATTCATTTAAAATCTCGCATGCGAGAACTTAAGACCAAACTTTTTAAACAGTTATTATCGCTGAAAAAAAGAATTAATTGAAATCAAATAAAGACAAAATAAAAGAAAAAAAAGCAGCTGACTTGTAATCCCAAAAACCTATTATTGTTTACAGGAATAATAATCTATTCCAGTCGGCCTTCTGGGTATTCTTGCTATCATAAGCATAGATTTAAATATTTAAATAGATTCTACAATCTATTCAAGTATTTATAATAAAATATCCCATGCTGCCTGATAAGCAAACCTTTCTGTAATGTCTGTGATGTCTTCCAAACTTGTCAAATTAACTTTTCCCTGATTCTTACATTTCAAATAATTAAGCACAAAATGAATTCTCCAAACGCTTAGAAAATACAGACCGAAACAATAGTATACCCTCAAACAGAAAAAATATAATGACCCGTAAAACTATATATTTTTTTCAGTAGTTATTCATTCATTTTTTTTAACTTTTTATTTTTTCAGTATAATCTCCAACATTGAGTATAGACTCAAAGGCAGTAGTGAATATGAATTATATTATGACAGGCCGATGGCCATATCACGTTGAAACATTGGTTCTCGTCCGATCACGGAAGTTAAACAATGTTGAACCTTAATAATGTATTTTTTTTTAATATTCTCTCACACTCAGTACCCCTTTGTGTCTTAATAGCTTTATTGCCTTGCTTTGTGTTACAGCAAAATTATCCAAATCATGTAACAGCATGGGTTAATTGTCCATCCCACAAAATGTTTAATATCTAAAAAAAAACACTAAACTAATTGAGTTTCTTTTCTCTAGGTTTTCAGATAAGACATTTAGCCATCTTGACACCAGTTATCATAAGAATCACTGAAAAACCTTTTAAGTTATTCAGCTAGAAAGAGAACAGGTAACAATCGTTTTGTGTCAGCCCCACTATGACTTCCCAAATGAGCGGAAAAAGATCGTTCACGCCTTCAGTAATGGTATCAATATTCATACTCTGGCTTCAACTAACAAAGTCCATTCAAGAACCACCCAGAGAATGATGAAAAAGTTTAAAAAAGAGGGAACAATATGGATCAGTAGATTGAAGCAGCAAGAGGGATCATCATTTTAACTTAGAGCTAAATATATTCTTATTGTTCAATGTAGATCCCTATAGCGTTATAAAAAGCTCGGAGAATTCCAGTAAGATATCTTTAATCATTTCTAAAATACAATTTTAGAAAATTGGACAATTTTGCTTTTACACAATTTGGACATTTGCTGTTAGAACCCGTATCTATCTATCTATCTATCTATCTATCTATCTATCTATCTATCTATCTATCTATTTCAGAGTTAAATAATATTTCTCTATCACTCTTTCGGATTCTGATCCTTCTTTTGATAAAAAAAAACAACAAAAAACAGCTGAATAGAGAAATACAATTCGTGTATGTAAATATGAAGCTCTGGTTCATTTTTCAATGCCAGCTCCCGTCAACAATGACTCTTTGTAGCTTCCTTTATTAATCATCTGTGAATTGCTCTGGTGATTTTCTAAGTGTGGCTTAGATGTGGCACAAGGCCGAAAGTATGGGGCACCCAGTGAGGATCGAACTCACTACTCAGTCGTAATTGTTCTACCGAGAAAAGCTTACTAACAGTTACACCACGTCAAGGCGCCCAACTGATTTTCTAAGCGTAGCTTAGCTGTCACACAAGGCCCAAAGTATGGGCACTCAATGAGGATCGAACTGATCTAGCGAGACAAGCTTGCTAACCATTGCACCATGTCGAAATGCCCCTGTGAATTGCTATGACTTCTTTCGAAATAAAGTGGTTTCCCGTTGACTTCTATACAGTTTTCAATTCAGACTTCTAGCTTAGCTGCCAAACAAGACTTTAGAATTATGTCTGTCTTGATCTTTAATCGAAAACTAAGGAGGAGGAGAAGAGATACATTTATGACTTCCCCTATTCCATTAGTGCGGAGTGAATGGGAAAGATCCTGACTGGGTTTGAACTCGCCTCGCCTATTCTATGCCAATAACTGTCACACTATCCGTTCATGTAACGAGTAAGCGCAGTTTGTGACTGATGAATTATTTTCTATTATACAAATCCATTCCGACGTGGTGTAATGGTTAACAAGTTTGTCTCCCTAGAACCATTACGACTGAGTAGTGAGTTCGATCTTCACTGAGCGCCCCACACTTTCAGCCTTGTACCACATCTAAGTTATGCTTTGAATATCATTTAGGCACCTCGACGTGGTGCAATGGTTAGCAAGTCTGTCTCTCTAGAACAATTACGACCGAGTCCGAACTTCACCGGATACCCCATACTTTCGACTCTGTGCTGTATGTAAGCTACGCTTAGAAAATCACCATACAAATCCATTCCTACAGACGAATCACCGCAAAAGCTTACGGCCATATCACGTTGAAACAACGGTTCCTGTACGATCACTGAATTTAAGCAACATCGAGCCTAGTCTGTACTTACAAGGGTGACCACTTGGGAATACCAGCCGCTGTAAGTTTTGATGACTCACTTTGGGTTCATTATATTCACATCCGCGTAGATACCCTTGGAAAAGGTATGAATCCACCTTTTCTCCCTCAAGCTATGGGTTAATTAGTAGAAGTTTAGTATCATGAAACCATTATTATTCCCCCCATATAAAAATTCTTACAATCTAAATATATTTTCTGGCTTTAAATAATCTGCAAAGGGCTGTTAAGCCGTAGAAAATGAATGAATCAATCAATAAAACAAACTTCGCAAGCCCATCCCTGTTCCCATGGAAAATATTCCTTAGTCCCTCTAATATAGGCCGTTACTGCTAGAACCCACCATACCATGTACACAAGGTCGAATCATCCTAATTCCTTTCATATTTCATTAGTAAGAATGGTGTTCTACTCAGACAGCTCTTCCCCAAAAAAAAAAAAAAAAAAAAGACGCTCCGAGTCACACGATGAAGCTTCCCGGATCACTAATCTTCAAGTCTAGGATCAACTGTTATCTATCCTACATATCCTCATAATCTGAACCGTTAGTGGCTCTTGGGCCTTGTTTGGTTGAACAATAGTAAAAAAAATAATTAGTAAATAATTACCTTAAAATATTTGTGTACAATTTCGGCAAAATAAACATACAAGAAATACTTGGGAAAGTTTCGTTGCATTCTGATTAGAATTTTATGTTGAATCTTAATTCTTAAGGTAATGAATGAATACGCTCATGGCGATATCTAAAGCAATAAAATATGCCTGTAAATTCTCTTATCGCACCGTTAAATATTGGCAGAAGCTCGCCAGGTAAGTGGCTCACTGGGTTTTTTTTTTCTCTTGGACCAAATATGTTACGGGAAGTTTTCTAAGCCTTCTTTTCTCATTATAGTTCCAAGGTATTTCTTTTCCTGATTCTCTGTAATATTGTGTTTTTTGTTGTTTTTTTTTTCTGTTGCCATTCACTCTAAGACTTCCTTGTTACATACTTGTTTTGTCCATAGAATTTTGAGTATTCTTCTGTAGAACCACATTTCTGCAGACTAATTTCCTGCTCACCTGTGGGGAAACACATTATCCAGCATTCACTGACATATAAGACGATGGATATCACATAAAAATCCAACACGCTTTTCTTTGTTTCTTACAAAATCTTTCCTTTTTTCATTACCTTGCTTAGCATTTGGAATCATCCTAATTCCTTTCATATTTCACTGGCAACAATAGTGTTCTACTCGGGCAGCTCTTTCCCCTCAAAAAACAAAACCCGCTCCGAGTCACACGATGATGCTTCCCAGATCACTACTCTACAAGTCTAGTATACTCATATCTATCCTACATAGCCCTCTCCTCTTACGTACATACTACAATCACATTCACTATCTTTCTACCGTTAGTGGGTCTTGGGCCTTGTTTGGGTGAACAATATTTTAAAAAAAAAAGTAATTAGTAAGTACTTTAAAACGTTTGTGTACAATTTCGGCAAAATAAACACGTACAAGATATACTCGTGAAAATTTCGTGGCTTTCCGATTAGAATTTTACATTGAGTCTTAATTGTTAAGTTAATGATTGAATAAGTTCATGGCAACTTCTAAAGCAATAAAATATCCGTGTAAATTCTCTTATCGCATCGTTAAATAATTGAGCTAAGCAACTTTAACTATATATTGCAATAACATTCATAAATATGAATGCTGGATGTTATTTAAAGAAGTAAAGGAGTATAAATGAAAAGATTTTAATTTTTTTTTCCAATTCACTGGAACAGACGTTAAAGACATTAGAGTGTTACCACCTCCGCTATCTTCACCTTTTCTTTTCTTTTTCATTTCTTTCTTGCCTTTCTTTCTTTCTTTCTTTTTTATTACTGAAACCAAGTAGCGTCTCAGATATGTCTTTACCGTCTTTCCACGTGTTCGAAACGGAATAGTCCATTATTTAGGAAGTATTAGAAAGACGTAACGTACGTACCTAGTTAATAAAGGCGGGACATTCAGAATTGGAATAGTTTTATATGCTGCGCTCAGGACGACCCAGAAACGAAATATATTCAATTAACATAAATGCGCATAGATTAAACATATTATTACGAGAGGCGATAAGTGTTTAACCGTTGTGTCATGGTCATCACTTTAATCTCGATTATTCAACTAATATTATCAGACCTTATTGTTGGCCTTGTGCCAAACTAAGGTACGTCTAATGAATTCCTATAGGGCGAATAAAAATGTACATTTTAATGACGAGAGTTAAACACGATGTGTGATGTTAATATTGGAAGGTAATCAATATTAATATGTTACAGGTGCTTGCTTATTGATTAATATTGATCTTACCTTTTCAGTAGGAAAAAGGCTTTTATATATATATTTATATAATTTAGGGATGATATATATATATATATATATATATATATATATATATATATATATATATATATATATATATATACTGTTCAACAGGTAATTGAAAGCAAATTTGAAGTAAGATGAATCGAGAAAAAAAAACTATAACAGAAAAACGAAAATATTCAATAAAAAAGGAACAATGTATTTCCAAAGAAATATGTATACATTTATAACTTATAAAAATAGAAAAAAAAGTCATTCAAATCAACCGGCTTCAGCCTTGAGTACGGCATCGATGCGACATCAGAGAAGGCTTTATGCGTGTATCAGGTGGTCTCCATTGATATTATCCGTCTCCCAATGAGTTGTGGTTTCGCTGGGTGGTCGTTCGACTGACGATACCCGAGACGTAATTGTCCAAGAAATTCAAATCAACTTTATCAACATTTTGCAGTTTATTTAAAGCCAGAAAATATTTTTTTTGATTTTAAGAATTTGAGGGAGATAATAATAAATATCTGATAGAAACTCTACTAATTAACCCATAGCAAGGGGAGTAGAAGAGGTGGATTCATACCTTTTCCCAAGGATATTTGCACGTAAGTGAATATAACAAACCTGACTGGAATTGAAACTCGGCACTCCGATTTCCAATTATGAACCGTTATCCATTACACCACCCGCTTGCCCACCTGGTTTTTTCTCAATCGGTGACTCGTCTAGACACTGACCAAGCTCGACGTTGCTTAACTTCAGTGATCATACGATAACCAGTTTTTTGACTGTAAACTAAATGATGTAGGCGACCACATGTTTAGGGTGACAGGAATGTGAAAATCTTCTGCCAGCCAATCTTGAGTCTTCAGAATATGGGCGATCATGGATCACCACGGCTTCCTATCCCTTGTGACAGTTAAGTTTTTCACCTTTTGCTAAGGCTACTGCCTGCCAACTCCATTCGGCTTAGCCATTAGCACAAACACGCCAGGTAAGTGGCTCGCTGGGATTTTTCTCTTGAAACAAATATGTCACTGGAATTCCTCTTTTCTCATTATATTTCCAAGGTTTTTTGGCAGTCTTTTCCTCATTCTGTGAAAATTGTTTATTTTTTCTGTTGCCATTTTCTGTAAAACTTCCTTGGTGCTAACTTGCTCTGTCCATGGAATTTTGAGTACTCTTCTGTAGAACTTCATTTTTGAAGAACTTTAGTTTTCTGCTCATCCTTGGCGAGACTTATCCAACATTCACTGCCATATAGGAGGATGAATATTACATAACAATCCAGAATGCTTTTCTTTGTTTCTTACAAAATCTTTCCGTTTCTCAACGCCTTTCATTTGAAGTGCTTCTTTCGCTAGTCCAGTCATGGCCAACTATTATTATAAGGCCCCCACCTGTAACATAACAAGCTGAATTCTTACAAGCCGATGTACTGTAAACAATCAATGTGAATGGCCACTCAGAAAATTGCTAATATACAAGGTAGGTAACTTTCAAAATTGAATTTTTAGAAAATATATCAACAACGTACAATTACGTAGAATTTATCAGACGTTAATTCAATTCCCTAGACATATTTTCAACACTAAATCGTATATTTACACCTTTTTTTAAAAAAAATAATGCCCGAATTATAAACGGCTGTGAGTTACCTCGCTTTTATGATTTTCAACTACGTATACGGGCCGTTTTGTAAATAAACAATGTTAGGTAAATTTTCTACCTCATAGTTCTATGCATTTAAAGATTAAATTATAAAGTGAGTTGTGATCTTTTGTTTAACAAAAATGCTTAACAAACGTTTTATATTTGGCTCTTAGAAAATCCACCCTCGTAGAAAAATGGATAAAATTCGTCAATCATATTGAGTGGTTTCCTACGATAAATCCAGTTCTCTGTATGAAACATTTTTAATAGAAATTTATTTTGCAAGAAAAACGAAGTAAACTGAATTGGGATTTACATTCAATACCTACAATACATTCAGAAAAATAAGAAAACCTTCTCTTAGATTATATTCTAATTTATAGAATAGACTTTGATCCTGAAACAAATTTTCCATCTATGAAAGAATGTATTCGCATTGACTAAAACATTCACGTCCAGCTCCAGTGGTTTATACATGGACATAATTCTAACTTACAAGATCATCCAAACTACATACAAAACGTCGTGGAAGAACAACCATACTCAATTCTAAAAGAATTACGAAAAATACAACACTGCCAACCAAAAAGTCGTCCTTCATTTTCTGCAGAACTAATACGTTATGTGCTATACGACTCAACAAGCTTACAAACTACTTCTGGGGAAATTTCCATCGCCATCTTTTTCTAGAGAAAATTTAAAAAAATAATTAAATGTTTTCAGTGTGAAATGTGTCCCCTGGTCATGGTAGGTAATGATAGTGATGATGCTAGAGAGAAGCAGTACTTTGACTTACTTTCTCGAGGAGTTCTTACGGTTCCATCTAGTCAAATAGCAAAGATTGTTAGTACTTGTTTTGCTATACTTGACTATGCAGATAAATTTATTGTAAAACATAATGAATCCACTACAAGAGAGTCTGCTGAAAGAATGTTGGAAACTTATGCTCTAAAATATGTTTTTACTTGTTAGCAACACACAGAAAAAGAATTCACATTGCAGCAAAAATTGTTGAGAATATATTTTGC